ATTGTCCTGAGCGGAACAGAGCCGTACCTCTGTCCTTAGGCTTTCCTCTTCCGTGAGGAATTCTGTTCAGCCGGATATAATAGCCGTCTTGGGTCAGGACTTCATACTCCTCGCTGGGGTACCCTCTGTGGCAGATGATTTGGCTCTGGGGAAAGAAAAAGCCGGGTGGCAAACTTTCTGTGGAAAAAATAYTTGTCTGGCTTCAAGGGAACATCCCTCGGTAAAACCGAAGTTCGGGGATGTGGCTTTGCCCTGGGTGAYTCTGCATCAGCTCTGACGGCTTTTTGTGACAAATCCCGCCCCGGTGCGGTGCCCGAGGGAACAGGAGACGCTCAACCGCGGGCGGGAGGGCGGAGCCGGCGGCCGCAGGGCTTGAAATGGTTCGAAACGCGGAGATTGAAAGGATTTACTAATACCTGACACCGCTTTAGGGTGCCTGACACCACTTTAGGAAAGGCTGACACCGTTTTAGGGCCGCCCGACACCGCTTTAGGGGCTCCCGACACCGCTTTAGGGGCTGCCTGACACCGATTTAAGGATGACTGCTTTAGGGATGCCCGACGCCGCTTTAGAGACGCCTGATACCGCTTTAGAGTCTCCTGGCACCGCTTTAGGGACACCCGACACCACGTTAGGGCTGCCTTTGAGGCTGCCTTAGGGCTGCTTTAGGGATGCCCGACACCGCTTTAGGGGCTTCTCACACCGCTTTAAGGACGACCGACATCGCTTTCGGGACGCCCGGCACCGCTTTAAGGATGCCCGACACCGCTTTAGGGACGTCTCACATCGCTTTAGGAACACCTGACACCGCTTTAGGGACGCCCGACACCGCTTTAAGGCTGCTTGACACCGCTATAGGGACGCCTGACAGCGCTTTAGGGACGCCTGACACCCTCTAGGGACGCCCAACACCGATTTAAGGATGCCTGACACCCCTTTAAAGCTGCTTGACACCGCTTTAGGGACACCCGACACCACTTTAGAGCTGCATAACACCGTTTTAGTGACGTCTCACACCACTTTCGGGACGCCCGACACCGCTTTAGGGACGTCTCACAATGCTTTCGGGACACCCGGCACCGCTTTAGGGCCGCCTGACACCGCTTTAGGGACTCCTGACACCGATTTAAGGATGCCTGACACTGCTTTAAGGATGCCCGACGCCGCTTTAGGAACACCTGACACCGCTTGGGGACACCTGACGCGGCTTTAGGGACGCCCAGCACCGCTTTAGGGTTGCTCGACACCACTTTAGAGCTACCTAACACAGCTTTAAGGATGCCCGACACCCCTTTAGGAACATCTGACACCGCTTTCGGGACGCCCGGCACCGCTTTAGGGTTGCCTGACACCGCTTTAGGGACTCTTGACACCGATTTAAGGATGCCTGATGCGGCTTTAGGGATGCCCGACGCCGCTTTAGGAACACCTGACACCGCTTTAGGGACACCTGACGCGGTTTTAGGGACACCTGACACCGCTCTAGGGACACCTGACACCGCTTTAGGGCCGCCCCACACCGTTTTAGGGCCGCCCGACGCCTCTTTAGGGCCGCCCGACGCAGCAGCACATGTCACATCAGGCTCCCCGCTGATGTGCCGGGCAGATAAGGCGGCGGAGCAGACGGAACCTGCCGAGCTGGGCTGACTGGAAGGGCGGTCGGATAAACCACACAGGATTCAGGGCTGCCGAGGCTCTGCCTGAGCTTTATTTACACTCAGAACTCCACAGATCGGGAAGCTCCAAGCTGCGGTCCGGCCCGCACATCGCCGTGCGCTCCGTTTGTCACCGGGATGGGCAGGTGTTGTGGGTTTAAAAGATTAATTGTGTCAGATTTATTGCCCGGGTCCGACTAAAYCCGGCTCCAGAGCCTGCCAGGACCCACCTGGACACGGCTCTGAGTGCTTGGCTGCCGCTGAGGGAGAGGAGCCATGCACAAATTTCTATCCTCTGGGGAGAGATTGGACAAAATTCAGTCTGGGGTGTGCCCGTCTTGGACTGCCCTGCTGATAATTGCGTCTAATTCTGTCGGGAGGAGGAGGACGAGGAGGAGGAGAAGAAGGACAAGGAGGAGGAGGAGAAGAAGATGAAGGAGGAGGAGCCTGTTAATGACGGTGGGGARGCAGCATCATATCGCAACACCCTCCCCAGGTGCCCTCCAAGCCTCTCTCCTCTTGCCTTAACTTTCAGACTGGAAATTCAGAGTTCTCCCGACTTACAACGTTCATGAGAGCCTCGGGGTTCAGAGCCTTTTTCTGCTCCGTGGCACCTTCGGAGCTGGTGGGTGCTTGTGTGAAAAGCAGGACGGCAATAAACAGCCACATCTTGTGCCTGTGTGAATAAAAATAACAACGAAATAATGATAACGGTGATAGCAGGAAAAATAGGAATAGGAACAGCAAAAAGAATAACACCAAAACCAGCAACACCAGCGTTGTTGTTATTGTTGCTGCTGATTATTATTATTATTATTATTATTAAAATTGATATGAATGTTTGTTTATACTTGGTTGTGATGGGTTCAGTTCCTCACGTATCATTTTCTGGGCCAGGGAAATGGAAGGAATTCCCAATTTCGGTTTTCATTACAGTCCACACAAGACTTTTTATACTCCTCTGTGCAGACAGGATCTGGTACTGGGCAGGACCCTTTATAATATTTTTAATAGTGAGGAGAATAATCTCTGCAATGCAAGAACTAAACTGATACCACTGAGCCAGTTGTCAAATGGAGGGAATTAATCCAAAAGGGGGAGTTTATGCTATGGAAGGAACGTGTTTAGGGTGGCTGGGCTATGACTATGTCTATACTTCTGCTGTTTCTCTTATTGCTTAACTTTTGTACCTAAACCCCACTACAAACGGATCCCATGAACTGAAACTGGCAGAGCCTCACAGGAAGGTTATTCACTAAACAAGCATAGCCTGAAAAAAACAGAAACTTTTTTGATCACCTTAGACCACTTTAGATCACCTTTTGGTCACCTTAGACACCCATGAGCTGAGCAGAGATTTATTTTTAATGCACATAATTAATACTACACATGATATCTAATCATCTATAGATTTTTTACTGCGGCTATCACGAGCTTGAGGTGCAACCCCACAGCTGGAATTCCCCACTCTGTGGCTGTGTCTGGAAACGCAGTCCTTTGTAAGCACAGCCAAATTTYGCCAGGCTCTCAAAAGCTGGAGCTCTACTCCAGCCCAGCAGCGTGAATTGTGAATTGCTCTCATCCTCCCTCCTTCACCTCCCGGCGGATCTCCCACACCGCGACGCTTCCCTGCCCTTTGAAACATTCCCAGCGAACCTCCCTGCGGTATTCCCAAGGTTTTCCCCGCTGGGGACAGCTCCCAGAGGAAAGAGATCTGAAGCACACGGAGGAAAATACGTTACCAGGCAGAGCCCACGGGCGCGTCCGGCCGGGCTGGTGGCGGTGCTGGTGGCTCTGTCGCCACCAGAGTTAAAAGGACCGCGCTGTGTCAGAGGCCAGCCACGCTGGCATCCTGCTGGCCCCCGTCACGTGCCCCCCAAATTAACAAATGTGCACCTCCCTCCCTGTGGCCGTGATTTTCAGGCTTGCAGAGGATTGCGTTTGCAGAGGCAGCCAGGGTGGTGTGCTGGGGAATTCCAGATATCTAGTTGCACCTTAAGCTCATGATGGCTGCAGCAAAAAAAAAACATGCCAGCGGCTCTTCTTTGTGAAGGGTCATTTCCTGATTGCCAGGGTCATCCAGAAGAGTTTCTGGTGAAAAAAACGAGCTTGGGCTATGCCAGCTTCACAAGGCCTCAGGAGCAGGCTGAGCTCTCCGTGGTCACCCCAAGGACAGCCCGGATGGGTGACATTTGGGACACCCCTYGTGAAAAGCAACAGTGGCCCAGGCAGCCTCCACACGGCCCTAAAGTCCCAAAGCTGTCATGTTTGCAAGGGGCAATTTGCAAAAACTCTGATG